TGTCCGCACGCTCTATCAGATTGGCCAATAAGCTGCCCTGGCTAAAACTCTCGAAACTTTCAATGAAGATAAATGTTGTGTCTCCGAAACACGCATACAAGACCCTACTTCCATTATTTATCTCTCTGCGTTCTCCTGAACCAACCTCAACCTCACGCTTCACCCTTCGTGTGTCAGGCGATTCGGCATCCGAAGCTCGCGATATTGCTGGTGTTGCGATTGCGCTATCCGCCAAGACTGAGCACTCGCTTCTTGACTGGATTCCAGTCCGTAGCCGACTGTACGCCGTACGTCTCAACGATTCAGCATGGGTCAACAGCTGCAGAACGAAACGTCAATGTCTATTCGTAGTATCGGTGTATACATCGACCGATTACAGTACACCTGAAATGAAGGGTTGATTCTAAAGGACCTTTCTCAAGTACTCCAAAGCGTTCGATCAACGGACATCGTAGCAGTCGCCGGAGACTTCATTGCTCAAGTGGGATACCTGCACGATTCATAAAGGTTTATTGGCGGACCGCAAGCAATCCCAGCCAACCGGACGAACAACGGAGATCGCCTGCTTCAACTCTGCACGGACCATGGATTGTTCTTGTCAAATACGAACTTCTCGCACAAGAAACTGTCTTACATGGAAACTGCCAACCTCTTCACAGTGCTGGGCCCAAATCGACCACATCGCTATCAGTTACCACTAGAGAAGGTAAATTCAAGACTTCCGCTCTTACTGGTCAACACCTGTGGATACAGGCCACGCTTTGCTATGAACCAAATTCTCCTAACGTCTGGCAAACAACCGCAATAAAACCATCGACAACGGATACCCACGATTGTTGCCAATCAGCCTTCGAAGCGGAACTCTCCGATCGCCTATCAGTTCTACCACCAGTCGGAGGACTAAATGAACTCTGGAAGCAAATCAAAGAAGCCATGCAGATATCGATAAAAACAACGTCGGACCCTGCCTCAAGCTCAAAACACTAAAGATGGATATAGTCGACCTCGGCTAACCTGTTGGGCTCCCGCAGAACCCTTCCTCCTGATAGCACATATGACAACGCGCAAATCCCTTAAACGCAAGCTCATCAAGAGTCTGAGGAATGACCGCGAGAAGTGGTGGGTAGAAAAGTGTAAAGAGATGGAGAAAGCTACGGCTATTGGTAATAGTCGAAACCTTTTCCATCTAATTAGGAATACGGTTCCTAGGAAAATGGGCGTAAGTGAGGTAATTAAGGAATCCGATGGCACACTGATTCACCATCAGCAACGCCGTCTTGACCGTTGAGCTGAACATTTCAAGGCTCAGTTCAACTGGCCCCCATCGACACCTTATCTTTCACTCTCCGCCTCGACTGGACATATACACCCAGTTGATGCTAGTCCTCTATCTAAAATGAAGGTATCTCGGGAAATAAGTAATCTCAAAAGGTATGAGGCCTCAGGCCCAGATGGGTTGTTCCCACCAGCGTTTAAGGATGGAGGCTCAGCGTTAGTCTTGGAGTTGAGAAAACTCCTTGGCTCAATATGGGAAATAGAGGAGGTTCCAGCTGAATGGTGTGAGTCGGTGATCATACCGATTTACAAGAAAGCTGATAGATCCTCCTCTGCTATACGGTGCAGAAGCTTGGCCATTAAGAAAACATGATAAAGACAGACTGTCGGTGTTCGAACACCGCTGTCTACGCAGCATTGCACGAATTTGATGGGGTAGCCGGATGAGCAATGCTGAGGTTAGGGGCAGAGTTTTGGGTATCCGCGGTCGCTCACCGGAGCAAGTGGTCGACCTCCACAGATTGCGTTGGTTGGGACATGAGTTACTCGTGTCACCAGGTAGGGTATCACGGCGAGCGATGTTCGCCGAATCAGACACAGAGTGGAAAAAAACCAAGGGTGGTCAAGTTAAGACCTGGCTCGAGGGTATGAAAACCCTAACCAGGAGACTGGGTCACATAGGTCCTGTTAGGTTCCCTGGCTGGGGACCTCAGGATGATTGTAACCGATGGTTAAAGACGCTGTGCGATATGGCTGGGTGTCGTAAACAGTGGCGTTCGTGCATCTCCTTAATTGTTTGGAACCTTAGACCACCGAACTTCTCCATTTTCTTTTCCACTCCACTTTCACCTTTCCTTTCTTCCATTATTCTTCATCCAAATGGGCAGTCAAAAGACAGCAACCAAAACGGGCGCTCGAGTATGCGTGGTTAATGGTTGTTCAAACTGTAAGTGAAACTAGTATCAAGGGTTAGACACAGGGTGATATCGCTGGGTGTCTTAAACCGTGGCGAGCGTGCCTCTACTTGTTGTCTTTAGAATCTTAGTCTTCAGGGCTTCTCTCTTTACGCTGCTTTAAACATTCCAATCTTACCTTTCTTTCTTCAATCAAATAGTCAACCATAAGATCACAACCAATGCCGACTTACGAAACTATATGGTTGATGTTTGTGAAAATTCAAACAATTGGTGAAATGTTTGTCGCTCTTGGCCTTCCACCTAGCCATCTCTTCTCATTCGTGCATCCCAACTTACCTCCCTAGCAGAATAGGCGGCTAACTGGTAACAGATGATGTCTTTTTTTTCAAGTTNAAGTTTATCTCTTTCCGTGTGTGTGCAGCTACCAGTCTCTTTTAGTTTATTTGTATAACTTGTGTATTTGCCAGACCAAGTTTTTTACACTTTGTGTTGGTGATTTAAAGGGTTGATTGAAATATTTTCTCGTATCACCTTGTAATCCAATTGGAGTAAAACTTATACTCCAGGAGTGAAATCTTTAAAACCACGGTAAAAGTTGTTATGGGTAATACACTGGATGTTATCAATACCTTCTTCTCTATTAACCTAATNAATGAGCTTTCACTGTATTGTGATAAACTCTTCGAGCACAATCATATTTGGTTGCTTTTTTAGGCTTTTCGGGGATTGATGGATCATTTGTCATGCATGCCACTAAGAGCACCGCACTTGCAATGATCAACGGAACATATCCACCCAATCTACAATACGTGAACTACGGAGCTGAAGTGCTCTACCTTTCACACTCCTCCCCTTGGTCGACGGCACTGACTAAAAACATCCGTCGCACCGCCAGCCAGTTACTCGGCAGGGTCAAACGACACTATGGTATTCGTTAACTTCGAGCCATCATGGGGTTAGTTTCACGGGTCTTATTTCAGCCATGGTCGAAAATCGCGAACAGTAATCAGTGCAATTAGTGAACAGGAATGCATCGCGTGCTCCTGAGTCATCAGGTGCGGATTGGTTTAGGGTTTGGATTAGCATGTGGCTTTATACCTCCCTCACACTTCAGTGTACTGCGTCATTGTTTATGTGACTTACCAGCTTACTCAAACGGGGTAAGGAGATCATTGTCTGTTGCATTTTATACTTTTCTTTATCCAGATAGGCGAAGGTTTTGACTGTACCACAGTTTCCTGTTATAGTGAGATAGACTCTTGATGGTAGAGAAGTATTGTTTTTTTAAATGTTTTCTTGATCCAATGCTGCTTTTACGAAAAATGCGATCAGTGCGGATCATGGGTATTCTAACCATCTTTGTCTCTGCTCTTTTTCAGACAGACAGCAATTGCCTACGTAGCAATTCAGTTATGCACCAAAGTGTTAACAATGATTTGGGCAAAATCGATGGTTCTGATCAGGATGTAGAAACCACGGAACACAATCCGGGCACAGCTATTTCTCAGCACAGTAAGTGATCGTCCGTTTTCGCCCATCTGTCCGTACACTATACTCGGGGACAAAACTGGGTATTTCCGGAACTTTCTTTTCTACATTTTGGTTGCCATTTTTTCCGCGCCTTAGTTTATGCTTTCTGTATTCTCAGTGTTCACAATCTTCAGTTTTTCGTTTGGTCGCACACATTTTTGTACTCATCAACCAGATGAATCGCCGTGAGATACGAATCACTATTGATGTGTGGGAATCGCATGATTACTGCGTTCAAAATGAGATTGGTTGTTCATCGCAATGTTAATAAAAACCTCTGTTTCTGTGGTTGGTTATCTGCGCCATATCGTGGAGGAAGTGGACAAATGTAGCTTTATCCCAGCCGACGTACGCATCACGAATGAATTTCGGCACACACAACAGGTTCGATGGACATTTGCCAATGTGAAACATCTGTGGTGCCGTCACGGCATTCGATGATCTGTGAAGGGTCGAATAGAATATTTAGATGGTGAATGTTTGGATTAACCCATTCAGTTTTTCACAGGCACCAGGCACTGTTGATGATGTTCGATGTGGATTTCACTCCTTGAGAGATCGTTAATTCCCCACTGTTTGTTTGCATTTTTGTGTGATGGAAATTGTTGTGATAACCAACAAAGAGCACTGGACAGCTGTTTCGTCCTGTCTGGGACTCGTCAGCAGTGCATACTTTTTGTGTTCCTGTCAGGACTCGAACCGCGATTCTTCGGCCTGGGACTTCAAANAAAACATACGCACTGCTGACGAGTCCCAAACAGGACGAAACAGCTTTCCAGTGCTCTTTGTTGGTTATCACAACCATTTCCATCTGTAGAATATTGTTCTTATCAATATAGTATTGTAACACAGAGAACCAACGCTTTATTGGTGTAAATACTACTCCTTCCATGTACACTTCGGGAGAATGCTCGTTAGGTTTGTGCCTTTCCTCAGTGTAGTTGGTTATTTACTACTGTTCGCAATTCTGAGGTCTTGACCTTTTTGTGCTAGTTTTCATAACCGATAGTCTGATCGACGGGGCCGTGAAGTTCATTTCTTCTAATATACATTTCATTTAAATAGGTAGTAAAAAGTGCATCCACCAAATCCAGAAAGCTTACTTTGGTGATACATACTCCTTACAATAATTTAGTATTGTGTTTTTAGTCCAACTAAATTTTCTATTTGAACATTAATGCTACTTATAATGTTCCAACCTTAGATGTACTTCATCAAAATGGGTAGCTAAAAACAGCAAAAGAAACCTTCACATGAAGGTACCGGGTTGAGGATTATATAACCTAGAAATGAACCGAATGTATGTTGCTCATTGGATCGCGCAAACAAGCTTTCGTTTGTATACATCTTCAAATGTAATCTCATATACTCAAATATGTGGAGGATGTTCATCGATCGCCAGAGTTCTGGTTGCCCACTTTGTGGACGCGTTTGTATACATTTCGTTTTTCCTTTAAATTCCCTTTCAAAAGTTATTGAACGGTGATTTATTATCGAGAACACCTTTAACGATTGTAAATTATTCCGCTTTTCACTACTATATTACTGTTTTTCACTTTCATTCCCAGAAAACCTCCCCTCATCACACAAGCTGTTCGCTCGTCTGGTGGTAAGTGAATGACTAATTTTCAATGTTTTTCCCAATATTCGTTGTCGGTGGCATTAATCAAGGTTTCAACCCTCTAAGTGGTGACAGATAGAAGGTTTCGAAGTGTTAGTTAATCCTGTGTAAAACTTGACCGATTTACAAAATATTGTTTTTTCGCCAACTCGACTTCCAGCTTCAGCTCTACCATCACCGACTTCATAAAATCAGAGGCTAACAGGAACAGCCCGAAAGTTGTGGTAAAGGTTGCGCAACTCCGTTACAATCCGTGACAAATGTATCGCACCACACCTCCGGTCCCAACCAAATGAAAGCCGTAATACAAAATCTCATCAACTTATTCAAACGAAACTAATCGGTCTGGTGTAAGCTACGGTCATATGATGCCCCGTTATCAGCGTCCGTTTGCTCACGTCATTCTCAGTGACCTTGGAGGAAAAAGGACATCCAAGAAGGTCAATACCACACGTTGTCAACCCTGGCTCAATGGAAGAGACTGATAACGAAAAATCCAACATCAATGCCTTGCGTCTGATCAATCTAAGCATAAATATGATAGCCAGCTGGTGTAATAGTTCCCGATCCACCTTTTTTTGAAGCGCAAAAACTAAAAGACAGTCATAAAAGGATTGGAAATCAGAAAATGCTCTCAGATAAGTGCAAGTTGATACACTTGCCCTCCAACTGCGTGATTCTTACATCGGAGATGAAAACCGTACTTGAGTGAACGTTCCGGTACGAAGGATATAATGAACACTCAAGACGGATAAATTGCACGAGTATAATAATAAGGTGCATAGCTCTAACAACTTTACAAACAGAAAGTCTTTCAAATGTTTAAACAGTTCCACGGAGCGCATGATGAAAGACTTTCATCGTGAACTGCAACTCGTGTAACTTGGAATTTTGTATGCTTAGGCGACAAAAACAAATTTATTCAAGATGGATCGGACGCGTGGAACTAGAACTAGCATGATATGAGCGGTACTGCAATAAGCGGAATAACCGTCGCAACTTCGTGATAGTATGGGATGCCTCGTGAATCAGCGCACTATTAGACCTCGCTGTGTCGGATGTAAGATTCTGATGCGTATACTTGTACTTGTATACTATATTGCGCAACGGTACTCACCGTGCGGTTCTATGGCTGCGAAACCTGGCTTCTCCGAGCAAATCACGTCCAATGACTATCGGTATTCGGCAACCATTGTCTGCGCAAAATCACTCGCGTATGGTGGGAGCATCCCGTGAAGAACGATGAGGTCATATACATATATAATCTGAGTCTCGCTGCGCACAACCTATTGTCGAATGGGAACCACTCTAGGTTCGCGATTTCAGCTCTTTCATTGAGATCAACGCCATCGTCACCAAGATTGCAGCCTTAGGGTCCCCAGAATGGCGTAAGTAAAATTTCGCTGTTTGGTTCCTTTGGTATATAAGGTTGTTTATGGAGTCTTGAATGCATCATAAATACATGGCAAAGAGTTAAATGTTCTAATGTGGACGTTTTGAGCATGATGCTCACCCAGTATAGTTTACTTTCTCTACTCATGTAATAGATATATTGATATATATGTATATTCCTGAGAAAATAGAAGGTATACAGCAAAATGAGGTGTCAGTTCTTTGATTATGGTTGCATTTTTTCCCTTATCTTTTTTCTTTTTGTTCTCTCAACCTAGTCGATCAGATGACCTTTTTTATATATATTTCATGCTCACTTTCATTTTTCATAGGTCCTTTTGGGTGTTCCAATAAACGGTGGAAATCGAGGTTTGCCCATTCTTCGCGTAATGCTAGCTTTGGCCAAACAGATACATCCGACTCTGCCGATGCTGTGGAATCTTGTCTTACCCAGAATGATACTGTACCTCAGTCGTATGTGGTTTATTTTCACTTTGTGACTGTTTTCTTTGTTTCCTTGTTATTCGTACTCTTTTCGTTCAAGTGAACATATCTTAGGTGTTTTAATCATATTATTATTGTGTTTACTTACAATTGTTTTTTAAAGAAAAATGCTTATCTCTGACCACGGTGTCCCCCGAAACCAATTAGGTTAGTGGGCTCGGCTCTCACCTTACTCACTGCCATATCTGATGTGTTAAGGCCGTATGCAATCCGTCGCTCTCCCGTTCGCTGTATTCACTGGCTAAGGAACAATGTACTCATCATCCTCATCAACATTCGGGATCTAAACTGCAACATTAATTCTGTACACCAAGTTCTCCATAATTCTTTTCCTGTCGCCCCATTTTTAACTGAAACACAGTTCTCCCCTTTCGTCATGCACCATCCACCTTCAAGTCCCCAACTATACTCTCCACCTCTTTTTACCCAGTTGTGGTGTTTACTTCTACCAATAAGTTGCCTTCTCCGAATACCAAATCTTGATTTTCACAATCGTGAATTTCAGCTGATGTGGCTAAAGCTCAGACTTCCTACTTTCAATAATTACTTTTGTGTCCTATGTCGCTCCCCTCAATTGTGGCCGAACCTTCTGCGAACTTTCTACACTCGTTTGCGACGAACCTCAACTGGCATGATACCGTAATGAGGAATGGTTGGCACATCCCTCCGTTACTTTTTCTTTAGGATACGAAGCCGGACACTCATCATCATCATTATCGCACAGCGA